CGTCGAGGCTGCAGTGGCCAGGAGTGGCCACTGCACTCCAGTCTGGGTGACAGAGTGAGACTCCAACTCAAAAAAAAAAAAAACAACAACAACAAAAGTACTACAAATATACTTGTAAAATAGAATACTACACAGCACAGCCTGTGAAATAAGAATAGTTTTCACATTTTTAAAGAGTTGGAAAAAAATCATAGTGCTGGGAGCAGTGGTTCATGCCTGTAGTCCCAGCTACTTGGGAGGCTGAAGCAGGAGAGTCACTTGAAACCAGGAATTCAAAACCAGCCTGGGCAACATGGCAAGACCTTGTCTCTAAAAAAATGAAAAAACAGTTAACCAGGCATGGTGGTGCACACCTGCAGTCCTAGCTACTAGGGAGACTGAGGTGGAAGGATCCCCTGAACCCAGGAGTTCAAGGTTGTGGTGAGCTATGATAGTGCCACTGTACTTCAGCCTGGGTGACAGAGAACTCTGACTAAAAATATAATTTAATAAATAAATCACAACAATGAAAATTAGCTAAGAAATCCACATCTCAGTGTCCATATATAAAGTTTTATTAGAATACAGCCATATTCATTCATTTGCATTGTCCAAGACTGCTTTTTGAACGTTAACAGCAGAGTAGAATAGTTACTTATGACAGATCACATACATTTAATATAACATTTGTAAACTTTATATAATTTACATACTCCTATACATTTAATAATTTACAGAAAAGGTAGGAAAAAAGAAAACACTAGAAGTAATACTTACACACGAAGGTCTCCACATGTGTGCACAAGTCACCACATTTAGGACAGCGCAGCTGGTTTCCACCTTTCCCAGAATTCCCAGAGCCTGATTTTTTACTGCTTCCCTCATTCACTGATTTCTAATGTTCAGAGGGGCGAAAAAGAGGATAGTATCAATTATTCATTTCAGGCAACCATTTTATATGTACCTTAAATGCAAACAATACTGTTTATAATTTAATATTGTTTTTTAATTTATAGAATGGAATTATTAGTATAGTTTATATCTTTGCTATTATTGTATCAAAAGATTGATTTACCACAAAAATCAGATATCTCAGTTCTAGTGTTTTTATCTGTAGTTCTCTCTCGTATGATATCTGCCAGCATATGTAATAAATAGCTTGCTTTCAATAGCTCAATAAGCACTAGGAAAAAAAGTATTAAAGGTAAAAAACTACATTTCAATGAAACTAAGTCAGGAGTTATTATTCTGGCAAGTAGTGACTTTTATTCTTTTCTCTTTCTTTTTTTTTTTTTTGAGTCGGAGTCTCATTCTGTCACCCAGGCTAGAGTGCAGTGGCACACTCAAAGCCATCGCAGCTTGACCTTCTGGGCTCAAATGACCCTTCTGCCTCAGTCTTCCAAGTAACTGAAACTACAGGCCCACGCTACCACACCTAGCTTACTTTTTGATTTATTGTAGAAACAAGGTCTCACAAAGTTGCCCAGGCTGTTCTCAAATCCCTGAGGTCAGGCAATCCACTCGACTCAGCTTCCCAAAGTGCTGGGATTATAAGCTTGGGTCACTGCACCTGGCCTGACTCTTATTCTTAGATCTAACTTTTCTCTTCACTAAAGTAGGAATAATTTCATCTACTTCAGAGAGTCGTTGTTAGGATTAAAATACCTGTCTGGAATATAATTTTTTTTTTTTTTTTGAGTTAGAGTCTCACTCTTTCATCCAGGCTGGAGTGCAGTGGCACGCTCATAGCCACCACAGCCTCCACCTGCTGGGTTCAGGTGATCGTTGCGCCTAAGCCTTCCAAGTAGCTGGAACTACAGGCATGCACTACCATGCCTGGCTTGTTTTTTGATTTACTGTAAAAACTAGGTATCACCAAGCTGCCCAGGTTGGTCTTGAGGATTACCCGAGCCCAGGTAATCCTCTCGCCTCGTTCTCCCAAAGTGCTGGGATTACAGGCTTGAGCCACCATGCCCAGCTAGCATATAATATTAACTCAACTGTCAGTCAAATTCACATAATGAAATAAATGGATAATAAGTCACTAACCCAATACAATCACCAATCATTTACTTGCTAGCTACAGAGTTTATCAGAAATCCAAAACTTTTAGGTAGAGGAGAAAGTGGAGCATAAATTTTAAGAGTTGTATGAAAGCAGGAAATGATGGCTATTCCTAATTTGATCCTACTAACTACATAGATAATTTTTTTTTTTTTTTTGAGTTGGAGTCTCTCTGTCACCCAGACTGGAGTGCAGCGGCGGCTCCTGGCCACCACAGCCTCGACCTGCTGGGCTCCGGCGATCCTTCCGCCTCAGCCTTCCAAGTAGCTGGAACTACAGGCGTGCGCTACCACGCCCGGCTAGTTTTTTGATTTATCGTAGAGATGAGGTCTCGCCAAGTTGCCCAGGTGGGTCTCGAACCTGCGGGCTCAGGCAATCAGTCCACTCACTTCAGCCTCCCAAAGCGTGGGATTATAGGCTGAGCCACTGAGCCTGGCCTACATAGATTATTTAATGACACTTCTTTACTACTTTGAAGTATTAGAAATTTTAATTACTGCTTACTAAGTGCAATGCTTATAAAAGTATTTTATGGTCAAACTGAAAGATCAAGTTACATAAAGTTCTCAGATCATTTTTTTTCCTGTCTTTGTAACTTTGTCCACAAACAGTTCAAAGCAGATAATTTTTTTTAATTTTTTTATTTTAAAGATGTAGGGTACAATTCAGGGATGGTATACGAATGTTCATTATGCAGGTACCCTTGTTGATGAGGTGTGTCCCTGCAGATCATTTATACACCTCATATTTCCTACAGAAAACATATATGAAATACTACTATATTTGATTATTTTATTTTTACTCTTTTTTTTGTAGATATGGGGTCTATGTTGCCCAGACTGGTCTCAAACTTCTGGGCTCAAGTGATCCTCCTGCCTCAGCTTCCCAAAATACTAGCATCACAACCACGAGTCACTTGCCCCTTTATTTGTTTAAAGAAGGGAATTCACATATGTGTATAGGTGCCAATAAAGATAAAATAATTACCTTATTTCCATCTCCAGAACCATCTTTATTTATCCCATCTTTTGAGGCAAAGAATGCTGGTGTTTCTGTAAAGGATCTAAGAGGAGCTGTTCGCAGAATCTGAGTTTCAAAAGTCCCAAGCCTTCCTAAAACTGGTATATGAATGCGACCACAAGAAATACCTGAAAATAAAATGAAATTAATTAGTCTACACATCAAATATTGATATGCCTCAATAAATTCCTGGGAAACAAAAGTTCCTTGAGCACAGAGGAGGCTGAAGTCTATAGTTTTCACAGTAGTAGTTCAAACTGACAGATAAAATAGTGATACCACCAGAGGCAAAGCCCTCTCAAAAATAGGCCAGATCTGAACCTCTGAAAGATTCCAGATATATAAAGATGTTTCTTTTTGAATGCGTCCTTTAGCAGTAAGACAAGACCACCCAGGTTATAACAATGCATGGCTCTTACAAAGTTTGAGTAGAATTCAATATCTGCCTCACGCTTAGGTTTTGAAAAGGCCATTTACCGCCTATATTCTTGTTCTTATATTATTTCTACTAGTGAGAATAAGCTTCTTGCCCTTACTGAAGCTGCAAACTAACAGAAAGAGTTGCAATTTTTCAATTCCCAGATCCAATACTCATTGTATATTACTGTGTTTGGCTTTCCAGGAAATTGAAAACAACAAACTTGAAATATGCCCAATCATAATATATAAATAAAATTAAATAATGGATTAGATTCTAAAAGCAAAATATTTATCAAAACTAAAAGGTCTAAGACTATTACAAGTAAATTTCCGTTAAACTCAAGAAAATGTTGAAAAAACTAGTAAGTCCACCCCCTGCATAACATTTGATAAGTTCACCAATTCTCAACTCAGGCTTTAAATTTTTATTTATATACCTGTTTGGGCTTTTAAGAGATTATATACATGTGTTTACACTGTACTCAAATGTAAAAACTGGTTTAAAATCATGTTCCTCAAACAACTGAAAAACAATTTCATAGTTATATAACTGGTCCAAGTTTCTGGCACATGCGTGTGCACTGATAGAACTAATTTCTTAGTTATTTATTACCCTAGGCCATCCTTTCCAGTTCCACAAAGTACAAAAATGAACCCACCAAACTTTTTCAGGAAAGTACAAGTAAATCTTCCCATCTCTATTTACATTCACAAAGAACATTAAAAAAAAAAAAAAAAAGATTAAAGGTTTATGAGACCCTAGTCCCTAATCCATACTATAAAAAATTTGCTTAACACTATTAAACTTGAATAGCAATAAAAAAATAAATAAAAATGTTTTTCTAAGCTTTCTAAAGACATTTCAAATTTTCAAGTGTAACATTTCCATTTTTTCCACTAAACGATAGCCATTATGCTCTCATTAGAATGAAGTTTAAGGTAATTTGTTAATTTTAAGCTAAACATTTTTTCCCCAAGGACCTGATATGATTTAAAGACAATGTTAATCTAAAAACTAAGCTTAGAAACAGTAATGGCAGAGACAAACAGATGAAGTCAAGTATGAAGTCAATGGTGTTGACGCTAGATGATGGGCACTAGGTGGTCCACTGCTCTATTTTATGTTTGAAAACTCCCACAAGTTAAAAAATGAAAGTTTGGCTGGGCGCAGTGGCTAAAGCCTGTAAGCCCAGCATTTTGGGAGACCAAGGCAAGAGGATGGCCTGAGCCCAGTGTTCAAGACCAGCCTGGGCAACTTGGCAAGACCTCGCCTCTACAATAAATTAAAAAATAAGCCAGGCATGGTTGCGTGCTCCTGTAGTTTCAGCTACTTGGAAGGCTGAGGCAGAAGGATAGTCTGAGCCCAGCAGGTTGAGGCTGCAGTGACCATGAGCATGCCACTGTACTCCAGCCTGGGCAACAGAGACTCTGACTAAAAAAAAAAAAAAAAAAAGAAAGCTTGAGAAAGTCAGCACAATAACTTATTTAATCTACTCAACAAGTATAACTTTTTAATTAAATCAGTAAGATGCATTTATAAAGAAAACTACAATTTTAACAACTCTTATGTGAGGCTATTTGTACTTGGCTATTCAGAATAAAATCTTGAAGTATCACACATAACATATTATTCCCATTTATCCTACAATAAAATACATCATTTTAAATAGTGTTTAACAATTTACAATATATAATGCAATTAGAAAATATGCTCAAAGGGAATCATCTTCAAGAAGTTAAGGGAAATAAAAATTACAAACATGATCCTTTTAAAGTCTACTTGAATAGAAAGAAAAATAAGACCTTTACTTTAAATAGTTTATGAAGGCCAGGTGTAGTGGCTCATGTCTGTAACCCCAGCACTTTGGGAGGCTGAGGTAAGAGGATTGTCAGAGCCCACGGGTTAGAGGCCAGCCTGGACAACTTGGCAAGACCTCATCTCTACAATAAATAAAAAAATTAGCTGGGTGTGGTGGCACAAGCCTGTAGTTCCAGCTACTTGGAAAGCTGAGGCAGAAGGATCGCCTGAGCCCAGCAGGTCAAGGCTGCAGTGGCTGGGAGTGTGGCACTGTCCTCCAGCCAGAGTGAAAGAGTGAGACTCCAACTCAAAAGAATTTAAAAAAAAATTAGCCGGGGCGGGGGTAGTGCGTGCCTGTAGTTCCAGCTACTTGGAAGGCTGAGTTCTAGGATCACCTGAGTCCAGTAGGTTGAGGCTGTGGTGCCATGAGCGTGACACTGCACTTCAGCCTGGGAGACAGAGTGGGACTCCAACTCAAAAATAAACAAATAAAAATAAATAAATAACTTATCAAGTAACATATGAAGCAATGCAACCATATACAGTCACGATGAAAAATACTATCTGAAAAACATGTTCACATCATTTAAACTTCTGAATTTAAGAATTTATTTGCTGGCTCTAATGGTAATGGCCTTAATATGAAATGTCTTTTGACTGAATCTCACCCCAGAATGTTTTAATGTTTTTAAATGTATAGAATATAATAAATAGCAAAGGAAATTATATAGTAGTTATCAAAATATTTTAAAATATGTGGGAGTTTTTTTTTTTTTTTGAGTCAGAATCTCATTGTTGCTCAGACTGGAGTACAGTGGCACCCTCACAGCCACCGCAGCCTTGACCTGCTGGGCTCAGGCAATCCTTCCACCTCACCCTTCCAAGTAGCTGGAACTACAGGCATGCACCACCATCTGGCTAATTTTGATTTATTATAGAGATGAGGTCTCCCCAAGTTGCCCGGGCTGGTCTTGACCCTTGGGCACAGGCAATCCTCTTGCCTCTGCCTCTCAAAGTGCTGGGATTATAGGCGTGAGCCTCCATACCTGGCCAAAATTTGCTTCTTCATTAGTAAAATAAAACAAAATCAACTCCTTTAATAACTATCACAATTTCAAAGCAATAAAAAGTATAAACAACATTCTGAAATATCAGCAGCTGTAATGTGATATGAAAATATTTGTGATTTTGATCACAGACAATTCTAAGACTACTGTGATTTGTTGCTTACATTCATAATTGAAGGAAATGCTGTACTTCAGTGAAGAGGTTAGTAAAAATAAAGTTCACAGAACCTCTGAATTTTATCCATGGACCCCTTAGGGGCCTGGGACCCTCAGGTGAAGCACCTCTGAAAACCGAAAAAGGGAAGTATTTGTGTGAAGTATATTTCACAAGACTACTTGGCAGTAACTATAAGACAGTTAAAAGTTTAGCTATTACAAAACTCTGTCATACAGATAAAGCTTTCCCAGTTTTAGAACAACTGTTTTTAAAAAGTACTAGAATAAAGTACATCCACTTTAGGTCTACTAGCAACTAGGAGAGTAATTTATTCAACTTTTAAATACTTGATTTCCTATATTCAATCTTGAATTAGACACTGTCCAAGAATATACAAACGATTCACTTAAAAAGATAAACCATCTATATTTTAAAAAGAGTGAAAAAAACTAATTAAAAATTATCTATTTTAGTGACAGTATTTAAGAGTGTAACAACTGATCAAATAGCAAATAAAGTTAAATACTTACCTAAACACTTGGCCTCTAACCTCTCACAAAAGTTAGAAAAAAATTAAGCAAAGGGCCACAAATAATGCCATCAACTTAATAAATGCTTACTGCTTTTATTAATGTCAAAATTTTATGCCCAAGTTATTGTTTCATAAATTCTGAATGCTTCTTAATAAGCAAAAAGAACAAAAGAACATCATCCCAATGATCATTTTCCTTGAGTGTAAAAATGTTTGATGGGTTTTCACTAAGGCTAGTCTGCTGGTCTGAAAATGAATAGGCCAAGAAAGAGAAATGCTGATTTTAAAATGTTTGTAATACTTTGGGAAGCCAAGGTGAGAGGATTTCCTGAGCCCACGGGTTCAAGACCAGAAATAGAGATGCTTTTGTCATTTATCTGTTTTGCCTTATTTAAGTGTATTGTATTTGACTACCAAAAAAAAAGAGAAAGAGAATTAAAATCCAGCTAAATATTAATAAGGTAAGGCTGAGCATGGTGGTCCACACCTATAATCCCAGCTGAGGTGAGAGGATTGCCTGAGCCCAGGGGTTCGAGACCAGCCTGGGCAACTTGGTAAGACCTCATCTCTACAACAAATAAAAAAAATTAGCTGGGGTCAGGCTCAGTGGCTCAGCCTGTAATCCCAGCACTTTGGGAGGCTGAGGCAAGAGAACTGTCTGAGTCCGCGGGTTCAAGACCCACCCGGGCAACTTGGTGAGACCTCGTCTCTACAATAAATCAAAAATTAGCCGGGCAGGGTAGTGAGCACCTGTAGATCCGGTTACTTGGAAGGCTGAGGCAGAAGGATCGCAGGAGTCTAGCAGGCCGAGGCTGCGGTGGCCGTGAGCGTGCCACTGCATTCCAACCTGGGTGACAGAGTGAGACTCCAACTCAAAAAAAAAAATTAATAAGGTAGGCACATTAAATAACTATCATGAGAATTGTGGAGACTAATATGTTTGGGCATCTTCATTTATACCCTTAAGAGGTGACATCCTTTGAATGGACTAAAGGCAGTAAAAAAAAAAAAAAAAATCAAGGGAGTATTATATGATCCCACAATTCTCACAGCTACATTCAGACCAACTGTCATTCAGAAATTTAAAAACAGAATCAAGCATTTCTCAACACATACATTTAGGATGTAAAGCGACCTCATATATGCAAAGCATATATATGTATTTTTTTAATATATATCAAAACTGAAAAACACTAGCAATTTGAGTAGAAAAAATATTTTAATTTCTGCTTTACTACAGGTGTCATATTCAAAGAGAATAGTGAGAAAAAACACATTAAGTTGGATAAACATAGCCCACCAGGAAAAAAAAACATATCTATGACAATATTTATGACAATTTACTAACTTTTCAAACGACCATTCAAAATGTTAAAAGTCTAACTTGACAGACAGGCTCATGAAAATGGGAAATAGCACTGTACTCCATTCTTAATTCTCTGTACAGAAAATTCCCCCATAATTTTTTTTTTTTTTTGAGTTGGAGTCTCACTCTGTCACCTAGACTGAAGTGCAGTGGCTGCTCCCGGCCACCGCAGCCTTTACCTGCTGGGCTCCGGTGGATCCTTTCGCCTCAGCCTTCCAAGTAGCTGGAACTACAGGCGTGCACTACCACGCCCAGCTTATTTTTGATTTATTGTAGAGATGAGGTCTCGCCAAGTTGCCCGGGCGGGTTTTGAACCCACGGGCTCAGGCAATCCACTCACCTCGGCCTCCCAAAGTGCTGGGATTATAGGTCCCCCATAATTTATTAGAAAATAATTCTTAATCCTACCTTTTATAAGAGTAATAAACCAGCCAAAGTTCAATACTGATCTTTCTCTTTCCCCTCTCTTCCCCTTTCCAGGAAACTAAAATAAGAATAACCCTCCTGGCTGCTCAGTGGATCAGCCTGTAATCCCAGCATTTTGGGAGGTCGACGAGGCGAGTGGATTGCCTGAGTCCGCGGATTCAAGATCAGCCCAGGTAACCTGGCAAGACCTCATCTCTACAATAAATAAAAAATTAGCCGAGCATGGTAGCGTGCACCTGTAGTTCCGGCTACTCGGAAAGCTGAGGCAAAAGGATCACTGGAACCCAGCAGGTCAATGGTGGGTGGCCATGGAGTGTGCCACTGCACTCCAGCCTGGGTGACAGAGTAAGACTCCAACAACAACAAAAAAGAATAACCCTCCTGAGGCTGGGCATGGTGGCTCACACCTATAATCTCAGCCAAGATGAGAGGATTTCCTGAGCCCAAGGGTTCGAGACCAGCCCGGGCAACTTGGCAAGACCTCATGTCTACAATAAATAAAAAATTAGCCAGGCATGGTAGCGCACATCTGTAGTTCCAGTTATTTGGAAGACTGAGGCGGAAGGAGCACTTAAGCCCAGCAGGTCGAGGCTGCGGTGGCCGTGAGCATGCCACTGCATTCCAGCCTGAGCAACAGAGTGAGACTCCAACTCAAAAAAAATAAATAACCCTCCTAAAAGAAGGAGAGTTTTTAAAAAGTTTTTTAAGTCCTAAAAGAAAATTTCTCCATATTCTTGTAGACATATGTATAGTTTCGACTATAGAAAATAAATATTTTAAGTCATTAAGGCTAGTTCATTGTCACGTAAAAATATTAAACTGTATATCGGGTACTATCTCATATTTGAAAGTTACTTTACTCCATTACAGTAAAAATCATGCCTCCGTATTTCTGAAAACCTCAGACCCCGACAGCGACACCCGTAAATTTAATATGAACTGATACAGAAGTAGACAATAATTCTTAAATACACCCTAATTTGAGTTACCTGATGACAGACATGTTTAAATTTTAGAAGAAAACAGCTGTTATGAAAAGAAAAAAAATGACCGTTTCTCTCCAATAATTCATAAAGTTTTCAGGACTCTTGGCTAGAACAGGTCAAGAACTTTCTCAAAGAAGCCTTCCCTGCCCAGAGAGAACACACGCGGCACGGCCCACCCCAGCCGCCGTGCACATCTTAGGACTCGCCACCCCACCTCCAGCGCCAACGCCGGGCCAGAGCCAGGCAGGAGCATATGGCACATTCATGGATTAAAAAAATATCTGTCGGGCAAACCCCTCAGGTTCCCTCCCACTGAGGGAGCTTTTCTGTCCTCTCAATAAATCCTGCTTTCAAATATACAGATATACATATACATATATACATACATATGTATATCTATCCATCACTTTAAAGTGTTTGCAAAGCAAATTCCTGGAATTGGAACCTCTACCTGTTGCGCTTTAACACTGTTTTCTCTTATGTTCATGTATCACTTTACAAAAGGCTTCCGCCCACATCACCTCATTTACCTGCTCCCTGTGAAGCGACTAAACTCTCAGGATGCACGTTTAGTAAACAACACGATTTCATAATTCACCTAAAAGTTAGGAAAAGGGTTTTACAAAGATTTATCCGGGAACAGAAATAACTCGATAAGCCAAAATTAAACGTGTTCGCCTAGCAGTTATCTACTGTAACAGCGGGTCATACACTGATAAGGCAAAATAACACCCACAAGCCTGAAGCCCACGAGTATAGCAGGATTATGACAGAATCCCGCGGGGGACGTGCCCAGGTTTGGGAAAGGGACAGCAGTTTCCATTCCGAGCGGCCCGACTCCCGAAGCAGCAGGCGAGCAGGCGCGGCCAGGGCAGCCCCACACCCCGGCGTCCCGCCGGACCCCGCGGGTCCCATCTCCCGGGGCCCGGAAGGACCCAGCCTTGTTTACGTCCCCGCGTTGCGGCCGCACAATGACAGCGACGCCTCGGCCGTCGCGCGGCTGGCGGCCGGGGGGCGACCCCGACAGCGACACCCGTCAGCCGCGCCTCCCTCCCGACCTCCCCAGGCCCGGGGCGGGCGGCATTCCTCTGACGTTTAATATGATACTTGTTTCACAAGAGATGAAGCATTGATTTGGTTGATAGTCTACATGGGGTCAATGAACATAGCTACACCGAAGACACCGAGTTACACTGAATTGGCTTACACTGGAGCATAATTTTCAGGGTGGTAGGAGGGCAAGGTTGTTTTTAAC